TCCCTCTGCCCCCCTGGCCACGGCGTTCCGCAGTGGAGGCCGACAAGGGTAGCGAAGCTCTACCCCCATCCGACTCGGGGTGGGACAACGGTGGGGCGGGATTAGGACGCCGCTCTAAGGTTTGAGCGGGGACCCTAAGTTCAGCGAACCCCCATTCTACCCCCAGCAGACACCCAGCGTTGTTCCTTTTTTTTTTTTTTTCCAGAAAATGGTTCCACGGCATTGACATATCACCATTGGACTGACTGGCCTCGGGAAATGCAGAGCTACGTTAATCTGCTCATCAGCTTGCAACTGGATTTGACGCTTGGATCTGCATTTTGCCAGTTCATGGGGGTAGAACCTGAGCTTCCGCCAGTTCGTTCATTCAACAATTTTATAGTTCAATGCTGAGAGGCAAATCAGTTACAGTATGACTTTGGCTTCCGAGAAAAGAAGTCGAACCCCCCCACCGGGTGTATCTCAGTGGTTGCACGGAAATTACACCCAACCAGCTGTTGAAAAAATACAAACCCGAGTTGTCTTTCGGGACATCTGCTAAATTTGGAACAATACAGAGAAAAGATTAGGATGGCCCCTGAGCAAGGATGACACGTATAAATCGAGAAATGGTCCAAATAAATAAACAAATTGAAGAAAAAAAAACAAAAAAAAAAACAGACCCAAGTTAAGATCCTGATACAGTCAGATGACCAGAATAAGATCATGCTGAATTACCTGTGGCCGGTCAGTGCGATGATGATATATCGAGACCATCGCCCCTTAGAAAAAAAAGAAAAAAAAAAAGGAAAAAACGTCGCCCAATGCTACGCATGAGAGAACTAGTAGGCCGTTCAAATGGACACACAAAATTCATCATTACCAGAATGGTGGCACCGAAAGTTGTGCCAAATACTTTCGGGCCAAATAGTATCAACTTGCGGTCATTCCCATGGGACCGAAACCTTGCCCAACTTGCGGCCCGTTGAAATAGAACTAGTAGGCCGTTGAAATAGACAGATCCTGATACCTATGTTTGCCCCATTCCCATGCCAACGAGACCACACACACTGTCTATCCTGATACCTATGTTTGCCCCATTCCCATGCCAACGA